AGTTCTCCTACAAGAGAGTCAACTCTCATATAAGAGTGTCAACTCTCCTATATGTGCGTCTGCTCCCCTATAAAAGCGTTAACTCTCATATATGAGCGTCAATTTCCCTATAAGAGCATCAACTCTCCTATAAGAACGTCAACTCTCATATCTACATAAATATATTGTTTTGACACCAACCTCGGAGCCAGTTCCGTCACGCACCCCACAATTCGCTAGTTACCACTACCGCGCTAGTTCTCTATCTAGCATTCGCTCTTTCTTTCGCCCGATGTACTGTTTTTGCTTCAATAGTGCAATCTTCGTTCACTCACTCATTTGCACCCATAACAACATTGAACAACCAAAGTTTTCTATATATAGGATTATAGTCTATCTAACAGAGTATACGCGCATGCTGAACCCTGGGGGACCTGTTGTTCGGAAAGGCAGCATCGGCCTCAGCGTTCCCCGAAGCGACCCTCTCTGCAATTGCCGTTCACCAGATCTGGGCGGAGCGATGTGATTGTGTGTTTCAGGGGAAAAGATTCCGGTCCCTGCGAGTACTCAGGCTCATCGAGGCAGCCTTTCGGTGTTAAAATAGTAGCTAGTAGAGACTAGGGTTTAGGAGAGAGAGTTGGCCAAAAGAGGGCTGACATTGAGAAGTGACGAGAGAGTTATACAAGGAACAACCAAGAGGTGCACCACCTAACAGAAATGTAACACCATTATACTTATAGCTAGACTTGTATGCAGTTATAATAACATAACTCGGACATCCTCCCTTAACTGCGTACAGGAATAGCAAAGTGTAGAACACAACCTGCAGGGGTACACAGAGCAGACCAAAGCAGCAGAACGCAAGAGCAGTGACAACCAGTGCAGTGGTGGCAGAGACAGCTGCAGCAAGCCCTGAGGCAAGAAAGAGAGAACGAAGACGATGTGCTGTGGCGCGCTTAGTTTGCAGCTCAACAGCAAAGAAGGCGATGTGCTGTGGCGCACTTAGTTTGCAGCTCAACAGCAAAGAAGACGAACGTAGAGGGAGAAGCGTCAGGGGCTGCAGAAGTAGGTGCCACAGTAGCAGTGGACGGCAGCTGCAAAAGCGTGGCTACTGGTTCCACCACTCTCTCTTACCCTCCCTTACCATCTCTCATCCTTTCTCCTACAGCAACTAGTGCTCGGATTGCATCGCTCCACACTCTCCCCCTCCCCTTCCCCCTTCCCCCCCCCCCCCTCCACTACGGAAGCCGCGGAAGGGAGGGCGGGGGGGTGGGGCGGCGGTAGCTGCTGCTGGCGCTGATGGTGGCGCAGGCGCTGGCGGCTGGCAGCTGCACTGGCGTCTGCGCTGGCGGGCCGCGCTGGCGCTCGCGGCTGGCCGTGGCGCTCGCGTCCGCGCGGGGCGACGAAAGGGGGGCGCGGGGCGACGAAACGGGGGCCGCGGGCGACGGGAACGGGGGGCCGCGGGCGACGGGAACGGGGGGCCGCGGGCGACGGGAACGGGGGGTCGCGAGCGACGGGAACGGGGGGCCGCGGGCGACGGGAACGGGGGGGCCGCGGGCGACGGGAACGGGGGGCCGCGGGCGACGGGAACGGGGGGTCGCGTGGGCGACGGGAACGGGGGGGCCGCGGGCGACGGGAACGGGGGGCCGCGGGCGACGGGAACGGGGGGAAACGAGCGTGCAGACGGGCAGGGCAGAGCGCGGCGGACGGGCGGACGGAAAAGAAATGGCGCATTTCGCGCTTTAGTATAGGCGGGCCCATTATCTTTAAGAGAAACGAGGTCCTTAGACCGTCATAGGCTCTGATAGCATGTTAAAATAGTAGCTAGTAGAGACTAGGGTTTAGGAGAGAGAGTTGGCCAAAAGAGGGCTGACATTGAGAAGTGACGAGAGAGTTATACAAGGAACAACCAAGAGCTCCACCTCCTAACAGAAATGTAACACCATTATACTTATAGCTAGACTTGTATGCAGTTATAATAACATAACTCGGACATTCGGCTGCATGTGAAGGTGTACACGCGAGCAATGGGAAAGAAGATTGGCAACGGTGGTGGTTCGAAGGGACAAAGGAGAACTCATGCGCTGGCAGAGCAGGAGGACGGTTTGCTTGGCCGCGTTCGCTGCATGTCGGTGAAAGGTTGGAAGTGGACGCACAGTTTCGGCGCGCTTTGGAGCCTGGCAAGGGGAGCTCTGCATCCGCCTTAGAAGCCTCACGTGAGGCCACCATGAGGGTTCGGCCTCTCACGCTCAGTTACGACTGACATGTATCACTTATACGCTTGCTCTCTCGGTGTATTTGGATATATTCATAATGAAAAATTAACAGAGTGTACGAAGCATCCTAGTCAAGATCGGGGTGTAGACTACAAAGCTCGAATCCCGTCTTCCGTAGTGCCTCGCCTCTACTAATTAGGACAGCGGCACATACTCATAGCATGATCACACACGCGTCGTCCATGTTCCCGCCACTGTCCGCATAAACATCCGCGGCCTTATCAGGCTAACCTTAGCGCGGTGCTGGCTCGCATGGCGCGGCTGCCGAACCTGGTGCTGCCGTGGGTGCCGAGTCCGAACGAGCGAGGGTCGTCGAGCGACCTGCCCACTCCCGAGATTCGAGACGACGTGCTGCGAGCCAGGGTGAAGGAAGGTGCGCGTGGGAATGGGCGTGTAGGGAATGCGTATCCGATCCACGCAAACACTGGATTGCGAATCACATCGTTGCGTCCCACCAACCTGCTTCGTCCTGCTGCTAAGATCGCCCCGGATCGCTCGCTCTTGACTCATTGCTGCCGTCGCGGCTGCCTCCACGCGCGTGGAAGCGGCGCGTGGCCGCTGCCTTGCCGCCACGGCCCACCTCCTCTCCGCCATCCCACCTCTCACCTTTTCCGCTCCCCCTCTCTACCTTCTTCCCCACCGCTGCGCTCCCCTCTCCCTGCCTTCCCCCACCCCCGCTGCGTTCCCCCCTCCCTGCTTCTCTCCCCCGCTCTGCGCCTCCCTGCCTGTCTTGCCCCTCGCGGCGTGCGCGAGCAGCGCAGCAGACGGCGGCAAGTGCGCGCGTGGGGTGGGCGGTGCTGCACGTGGTGGTGCCGGCGGCGCTGCTGCTGCTCAACACGTCGCTCGCGCAGGCCCTTGTGCAGCAGCCCGTGGGGTGCGTGCGTGCGTGGTAACCATCAGGTGTGAAATGCGGTGTGTCGTATCCACAGCATCTGGTGTGAGTGTGGTCAACACAGCGGATTATAGGGTAACCACTGCAGATGATATAATAACCACTGCAGCTGATTGGTAACCACTGCAACTGGCATGTGGTAGCTTTCATGTGGGGTACGTGGTGGTAACCAGAGTGTGGTCGCTTACTATGCAGGTGTGCCACTGTCCTGAATGCAACTCGCATTGGTTCATCATCCTCACCCCATTAACCTTCCCTCTTCCCACACCCTCCCGCCGTCCCCCGTCTCGCCCCGCACTGTGCAGGGCGGAAGCGGTGTGCTACGGCGTGCTCTTCCTCGCCACGCTGCTGCAGTACCTCTACACCTCCGGCTCCTCGCCTGGGTTCGTGCGCTCTCCCCTGCTCTGCTCCGATCTTCTCTGCTCTTCATGCATGACCCAAGCCCCGTGCATGACCCAAGCCCCGTGCATGACCCAAGCCCCGTGCATGATCCAAGCCCCATGCATGATCCAAGCCCCGTGCATGATCCAAGCCCCGTGCATGATCCAAGCCCCGTGCATGATCCAAGCCCCGTGCATGATCCAAGCCCTGTGCATGACCCAAGCCCCGTGCATGACCCAAGCCCCGTGCATGACCCAAGCCCCGTGCATGACCCAAGCCCCGTGCATGACCCGAGCCCTGTGCATGACCCGAGCCCTGTGCATGACCCCATTGCATGTGCATTCTCTCCTGTTCCTCCGTTTTTCTTTCCTGCCCAACGGCATGCGCATGGCATATGAATGGCGTATGATTGGCGTATGAATGGCATGTGGATTCATCTGAGAGAATTGCGCATGGCGCGTGGATGGTATGCGAGTGGCATGTGAATGCCATGCCAATGTGTGAATGGCATGGCATGTTACTGTGTGAATGGCATGCCATTGTGTGAATGGCATGTTACTGTGTGAATGCCATGCCATTGTGTGAATGGCATGTTACTGTATGAATGGCATGCGAACGGTGTGCATGCATCCTGGTTGGCAGGTACGTGCAGGATGTGGCAGACAGCCTGCAGGCAGCCGTGGCAGCAGCCAATGCACGCCATGCCGCCACACACGCCGTTCCACCGCCTTCCCCAGCGTTCCCCCCTCCAACGGTGTCTCTCCTGCGAGCAGAGGCAGCGCCTGCACCGCCACAGGCGGGTCGAGCAGCTTCACTCGCCAACTCAACCGCAGCTGCAGCAGCAGTGGCAGTGCCAGTGGCACCAGCAATGGCAGTAGTAACGGCTGCAGCAACACCACAGGGGGCAGGGGAGGTTGAAGTGAGGGGCGACACAGAGGATGGGGTTAGTGAGGCAGAGGAGGAGCAGTGCGAGGGGGCAGTGGATGGGGTGGGCATCAAAGGGGGTGAGAGCGCGTTGCTGGATGGGGTGAAGGATGAGACGAGTAGGGATGACGCCTCCATTGCTGTGTCCCCCTCCTCTCACGCATCCCATCCATCCCAACCATCGCACTCGTCCCATTCATCTCTCACCACCTCCAGGTGGTCCAATCCACCCGAGTCCTCCCTCCCACATGCCGTCCCACCATCTCTCTCGCCCGCACCCTCACCCTCGCCCTCTGCCTCTGACGCCCTCCGCCTGTCACACGCCTGCAGGGGAGCAGCAGGCGAGTCTGCTGACCTCCCAAGCATCCTCACTCCTCTCCTCGCCTCTCCCCACCCCTCTGCACCGCGGACTGTGCGCCAGTCCTCCCCATCCTGCGCTGTGGTGCCTCTGCCCCCTCCCAGGGGGAAAGGGGGTGGCGAGGGGGGCAGGGGGGAGTCTCATCCGCGCTCCCAACCCCCTCCGCTTGCTCCCAGCGCTGCTCGCCCTCATGGCCCCTGGGCCCTGCTCGCGCCCTGCCTGCCCGGCTGCCGGTGGTGCGGGCACGTGGGGTGCAGGTGGTGCGGCGACAGGGGGTGCCGCTGGTGTGGCGACGGGGCAGATGCGCCGTGCGACGACGTGGAGAGAGGGGCGCAGGCAGGAGAGGGAGGGGGAGGGGGAGGGGGAGGGGGAGGGGGAGGGGGAGGGACGCAGCTGCTGTGGGGCACGGGCGTGGGGTGCTGCGAGGGTGGGCAATAAGGGAGATGGGGGAGAGGGAGGGGGTATTGAAGGGTGGGAAGGAGAGGCGAGATTGTTGCTGCTGCCCCTGCCAGCACAGCCATCTCGACTCACAGCAGCGCAGTCAAATTTCCTCGTCACCCAATTCAGGTCACCCCACCACTCCCTCCCTCTCACATGCACCGCGCCCTCTCTCGCCTGCCACCTGCGATGCATCTCTTGCAACCCCCCATCTCCCTGCAATAGCCTCCCACTCTCTTTCCTGCCCATGGTAGTGCCTACCTCAAATTCCTCCCTCCACTTCCCCCCCCACGCCCCCCTTCCCCATGCCCAGCAGTGCGCGGCGGTGGTGCCCGTACTGCCGCGTGCAGCAGCCGGTGCGCGCCAAGCACTGCTACGACTGCGGGCGCTGTGTGCTGCGCTTCGACCACCACTGCTTCTGGGTCTCCACCTGCATCGGCCTGCGCAACCACGCCCGCTTCTGGTAACCATGCCCGCTTCTGGTAACCATGCCCGCTTCTGGTAACCACGCCCGCTTCTGGTAACCACGCCCGCTTCTGGTAACCACGCCCGCTTCTGCTAACCACGCCCGCTTCTGGTAACCACGCCCGCTTCTGGTAACCACGCCCGCTTCTGGTAACCACCCGCTTCTGGTAACCACGCCTGCTTCTGGAATCCACGCCTGCTTCTGCTAAGCATGCCTGTTTCAGATGTGCATGAGGTGAACCTCCTATCTTGCTCTGGCAGCTGTCCCGCACATAACAGACCTCAGCCACTTCCTCTTTCACTCAACCACTTGCTTCACATGTGTCCCATCCTCCACCCCCTTCTTACCGCCCCTCTGGTATGACACGGCACGGCATGGCACGGCATGGCGGGGCAGGGTGTACCTGGTGCTGGAGTGTTGCCTCACGTGGTGGTCGCTCATCATCTGCCTCTCCGCCTTCACTGCCCCCGTCTCACCCAACCACTGGTCCGTCCCTCCTCGCCGCATCCCTGCCTCACCTGCCCTCACCCCCACCTTGCCCCGTCCACGGGCATGCCAACCACCTCTCACCCCTCGCTTCCATGTGCCTTCCCCCATCACCATTCCTCTGCGGCCTTCCGTGCCCCCCTCCACTGTCCATCCCTCTACTCACTGGGGTGCCAGGTTGGAGCACCAGCTGTCAGCGCTGGCGTTCACTGCTCTGCTGCTGCCACTCGCCGTGTTCCTCGCCATCCTCGTGTGCTTCCACACGTGAGTCAAGTCCCTCGGCCACAAGTGAGTCAACTCCCGCTGCCACTCGTGACTCCCGCTGCCACTCGTGACTCCCGCTGCCACTCGTGACTCACTCTGCCACTCGTGACTCCCGCTGCCACTTGTGAGACTTCATTTGCATGTCTCGTGTCCAAACGACTCTCCCCTTTCTGTGACTGACCGTGTGCCTCGCCATGCTACGCCATGCGATGCCATGTTACGCCATGCCATCCCGTGCGATGCCGTGCAGGCATCTAATTCTCACGGCGCAGACAACATATGAAGCCACCAGGAAGCATCGCATCTCCTATCTGCGGTGCGTTGTGCATGCCATGCCAGGCACATTCATTGACATGCCGGGCGCATGTGTTGACATGCCAGGCACTTCCATTGTCATGGCAGGCACATGCCTTGACATACCAGGCACATGCGTTCACATGCCAGGCACATGCGTTCACATGCCAGGCACATGCGTTCACATGCCAGGCACATGTCTTCACATGACAGGCACATGCATTGACGTGCGACATGCCAGGCACTTTCCTGTCCGCCCACGCATCACTGAGTGTGCACTCCCCATCCATCGCTGCGTGCTGCTGCCTGCTGCTGCGTGCTGCAGGTCGGTACCCGGGGACGTGCATCCCTTCAGCCAGGGCGCCTGTCGCAACGTGATGCACCTCTGCTGCCTCACCCGCCATGTGCTGCCGCTCTATGCCGTCCCATCGCCAGCCGTGCTGCACGCCATGGCCTCTGGGGCATACACCGCTCCGTCAAGGACATGGGGCCCATGCTGCTCCTGATGCCTGCTCCTGTGTGAGGGACCCACCCTGTATCATATACTCTTTGTTGTATCATACACGGTATCAGCCCGTATGGTCTTACCGTACCACGTGGGGGTGTTCACTATGACTTTGGCACATACAGTACTATTAAGCTCGACAAGTGCTACCTCCTTGTTATTTTTTCATTGATTTAATATACACGGTACCCAAAAGGTGTAGTTTCATCTCATGCAGAACCAATAGTCTAGTATTTTATAACAATTTGATGCTTTCACCCATGTCATGCACAAGGCATGTCATCTGCGTGCTGCTGGCCTGCCTTTCTCCTTCTTCCCCTTGCTCTTGTTGGACGCAGCCTCTGCTTCCTCCTCTGCCTTCTGCTCCGCCTCCAGCTTCTCAAGCTGCACGGCAAGGCAAGGACAAAATTAAATTCATGCGTATACGGTACGCAGAATGGAGTGCATCACAACGGCATTACTGGCAGGGTTCATTCAACTATGACACGAGAGGGGGGGCGAGGGGCAGACCTCAGTGAGCACGGGCAGCAGGTCGCGGTAGCGCGCCTCACAGAGCTCAAAGCCATCCTTGCGCAGCTCCTGGGGCACGGGGAAGGGGGGGGGCAGGAGGACGAGGAACACAATCAACCCCATGGGGTGCACCTCATGTGCACAGTGCACACCCTCTGCTCGGGCCCAGGCAAAGTGCAGGCACTGGTTGGCATATCAGAGCATGGAAGATGGGATTTGGATGGCCAGCACTGCACACACTCGCTTCCCTTTCAACATGCACCCGCCTCATTCACGAGCCCCTTCCACCCCATAAGCGACAGGCCGCAGTGAGCGGGCCATGGCATGCTGCACCTTGCCGGTGCGCTGGGTGTGTTGGTATGCCTCGCGCTGCCAGTGCTCGCCCGTGCGTGCAAAGAAGTCCCTCAACGACTCGCCAGGCTGCCAGCCACACAAGTACGGTGCACATACACGTGTGCGCGCGCGCGCGCGCGCGCACACACACACACACACACGCACACACACACACACACACACACACGCACACACGCGCATGTGCGCGCACACACACACACACACAAACACACACACACATGCACGCGCACACACACACACACACACACACACACACACACACACACACACACACACACAGAGGGAGGGGCACTAGGCAACTCGGTAGGCAATGCAAGATTAATGTCCGGCAACACAAAATGGCGGTGGTGCAAGGTGCATACACTGAGTCCCGTGTCCAGCGACTCACAATGGGCGTCCTCGCCGTGTCTGCAAGCCCCAGGTCCGCCCGGATCCGGTCAATCTCCGCCCGCCTCTCCTTGCGCGACAGCTGGCGCTTGCCGCCCGCAGGAGCCTCGCCCCTCAAAAGCGCCGCTGCCAGCTCCGACGCCGTCGCAGCGCCACCCGTGGCCTGGGGGGTGGATGGTGGGGAGGGCGGCTCATGCTGTGCTGAGAGATGTTGTGTTGGCGGTGCATGCGGTGCGGACTTGGTAAAGGTGAGACAGCATTGAAAAATGGACGTGCATTTGGCTGAAACTCCAGCCATGAGTTCTAGAGGCTTGCAATAAGCATGCAGCAGACGAATGAGGGCAAACCTGGGCGGAAGCCTCATCGTCGCTCGACTCATCCTCTTCCTCCTCCTCTTCCTCCCCACTTTCCTCGTCGCCACTCTCCTCCTCATCGTCGTCCTCCTCCTCCACCTCCACCCATGTGCTCTCTGACCCCTGCACGTGATGCCAACACACATGTGGGCGGTAATTGTGACACGGCGTGCACACAGCAACAGGCAAGGCAACCTAAGACACATGAACGCATGAAGGTTGAATAAGGCAGCATGATCATGACCACGAGCTGTGCACGTCCCATTGCCCTCACTGCCTTGTCGCAACGCAGATAGCACAGAAAGCAGCACAAGTACTGCAGCTGGCAGCACCAACTCCAGGGAAATGAATGCAATATTGCCCTTTATGCTTGAGGCGCTGCTTGCACTCGCCTTGTGGAGGCACTCGCCTTGTGGAGGCAGGTCCAGTGGTCAAGCTTGGAGAGGTTGAGGCAGAAGAGGTCGTCCAGAGTCACCTCACGGTCGCCCACCTCCTTGGCGCCGCCCCACAGGTACAGCGTGTTGCCACCCACCGCCAGCCCCGCGTTCATGCGACTGCACGGCGCCTCGCCCCTCTCCCCCTTCCCGCCCTCCTCCCCCTCCCCCTCCTTCCTCTCCTTCCCTTCTCCCGCTGCCTCGCCGCTGCCTCCCGCTGTCTCATCCCCCCCTGCCTCATCTGCCTCTTTCCCTTGGCTATCCTCAGCAACCCCCTGCCTGTCCTCATCGCCCACACCGCCCACCTCGCTGCCACCCTCAAGCCTCAGCCTCTGCAACTCGCCCTCCACCTCAACGCCACTCCCTTCCCTTGGCCTCCCTGCTGCTAATTCCCCGCCCTCACTGCCCCTCCCCTCTGCCTCTGCCGCCCCCTGCCTGCTCGCATCCACCCCTCCCACCTCAGCCATCTCGCAATCTGCGCTGGTTCCTCCTCCCTCCACGCCCAGTGCTGCACTCCCCTCTGCCACATTGCCGCCAATCGCCTGCTCGGCCCCCCTCCCACCCCCACTGCCATCCCCTGCCTCTTCCTCCTCCTCCTCCCACCCCTCCCACTCCTCCTCGCCCCCATCATAATCCACCTGCTGCTGCTGCTGCTGCTGCAGCAGCTGCTGCTTTCGACTTGGCCCCCTTCCTCTCCTTCCGCTTCAGTCTCTGTTTCCTTCGCCCAGTCACCTCCTCTTCCTCCTCGCTCTCACCACCATTCCCTGCCTGCCTGCTCTTCCTCCCCTCCGTTTCCTCGTCACTCTCGCCCTCCCCCTCCTCCCCATCTGCCTGTGTGCCGCTCGTTGCTGCACTGCCTGCATTTGGCTGGGCGACAGGGGTTGGAGGGGCAAAGAGGGGTAGGGAGGGGCAACGACGAGTGGAGAGGGGAAAAGAGGGGTGGAGAAGTGGAAAGAGGGTCGTCAAGGGAAATACGGAGGAGAGGGGCAACAAGGGGTGGAGGGGGGCAAATACAGATGGAGTGGTGGACTGCCTCCCTCCTTGCACTATCTCTTCTGCCTTCCTCTCTGTTCGCTCACCTCTGCCTTCCTGGCAGCTGCGCGGGCCTGTTGCTGCGAGCGCAGGAGGAGGGGGAACCAGCGGCGCGAGTCCATCTGAAAGGCAAACAGGTCATCCAGGAACGTGCTGCGCAGCACATCTCCGCCTGTGCCACGCCGTGGGGGTGAGGGGAGAGGAGAGGGAGAGGAGAGGTGACTATTGAGTCGACTCGAAAGGAGGGGGAACCAGCGGCGCGAGTCCATCTGAAAGGCAAACAGGTCGTCCAGGAACGTGCTGCGCAGCACATCTCCGCCTGTGCCACGCCGTGGGGGCAAATGGGGGAGGAGAGGGAGAGGGGCAGCAGTATGTTTTGAGTCGACTCAAACAAACAGGTCGTCCAGAAACGTGCTGCGCAGCACATCTCCGCCTGTGCCACGCCGTGGGGGCAGGGGGGTAGGGCCGGAGGAGAAGGGGCAGGTGTGAGAGCAACGGGGGATGGTGTCGTGGGAGGTTTGGCAGAGGCGACGTGAGCAGAGGGCAGGTCACCAAATGAGAGTGAGCGGAGGGGAGATGGCCAAATGAGAGCAGAGAAGAGATGGCAAGGCTGGGGTGGAAATGGCAAGGGTGGGGGAGGCGAGCGCACCTTTCTCCTCTTGGTCAATGACGCCCCCAAAGAGGATGGCACGGCTGCGGTGCACTGCCAGGGAGAATCCCGCCCTCGCACTCGGTGGCGACCCCAGCCGCTTCACCTGCACGCAGGGGGCCAAGGTGAGGAAGCGGGGTGAGGTGCATGAGAGTGCCGTTGCCAGGCTGCTTCACAACACTCACACAGCAACTGGCGCTTCAACCTTGCAGGTTCTTTTGCCTCACAATCTGTTTGGCACGATGGACGTGTGTCACTGGAGCAACGCACCTTGTTCCACTCGTAGGAGCGCGGGTCGAGCAACCAAAGGTCGGAGAGCACGACGCCCTTGTCCTTGCCGTCAGCGTCCTTGGCGTGGTCCTTGAAGTAGCCCCCGTACAGGAACACCTGCGCCATGCACGGGAACGATCAGCACCCAGCGTTGCACACGCACGTGAGACACTAGGCAGTGGCATGCGCGCACAGGAACGACGAGCGTACTGTACAATTTGATTGCAGAGCAGAGCGGACGCATGGGATGGCAGGCAGCGGGCGGCTGACCTCGTGCTGGTGGGCGGCTGACCTCGTGCTGGTGGGCGGCTGACCTCGTGCTGGTGGGCGGCTGACCTCATCCTGGTGGGCGGCTGACCTCATCCTGGTGGGCGGCTGACCTCATCCTGGTGGGCGGCTGACCTCATCCTGGTGGGCGGCTGACCTCATCCTGGTGGGCGGCTGACCTCATCCTGGTGGGCGGCTGACCTCATGCTGGTGGGCGGCTGACCTCATCCTGGTGGGCGGCTGACCTCATCCTGGTGGGCGGCTGACCTCATCCTGGTGGGCGGCTGACCTCATCCTGGTGGGCGGCGAACTGGAAGGCACTGCGGGGGGACGGCCACGCTGCCCCCGGCTTGGGCTTCACCTCCGCCCACTGAGAGAGAGGCGCATGGTTCATGGAGGTGGGAATGGGGGAGGGGAGAAAATTGGTGGCATGGAAGGAGGGGGGGGATGAGCTAAACGGACCAACCTCAACCAACAAGCGTGAGTTGCGAATGGGTCAGGAAGAGAGAGAAGCTGGTGTTCTCAGAAATTTTGCAAATGGCGGTGCAACCCATGCACAAGCCCTCTCACAGCAAACGCTACACGAGTTGAAGGAGCAGCAGAAGGGGGGTTAGGAGGGCACGTGCCTTCATGTCACTGACGTCCAGCACGTGCAGGTCGTTGAAATAGCTGCCAGAGGGGGGAGGAGAGGTGCAGGAGGAAAGCGAGGAGACAAGAGGCAAGGCGCATGAGGCACATGGTGCTGCTTCCACTGGTGCACGTGCACGCATTCACAGTGTGCCGTTTCGCAGCACTGGGCTTGTGGCGGACGGCAACTGTGGATGATGGGTGATGGAGTGAAGTTAAGGCGCCAGGCCGAAGGCACAACTATAGCGTCCAGTGGAAGGTGCTCGGATTGAGTGCTGCTCCTCGCGCCATTTTCTCAGCCACAGAACGCCTTGGGACCCAAGGCTTGGGTGGTGCGAGAGCGGGTGTGGGCGTCAGGCCTGACCTGCTTACCCCCAGCTGTGCATCTTCAACTCACCTCACCTCCGGGCAGCTGCCTGTGACTCACCGAACGTCCCTGAGATTGTCATAGAACCCTCCGAACAGCAGTATCTTCTGCTTGTACAGCACCTGCCATCCACACACGCAACGCAAATGGGGGAAAGGGATGGGGATGTAGTTGAATAAGTCATGTGCAGGGCTGCAATCGGAGATGCTTTTGTTGCAGATGCTCAAGGTCGAGAGCCATAAGTATTGAAGAACTGGATCAGATGCAACGCCTCACCATGCAATGGCCTAACCATGCAATGGCCTAACCATGCGCTGGCCTCACCATGTGCTGGCCTCACCATGTGCTGGCCTCACCATGTGCTGGCCTCACCATGTGCTGGCCTCACCATGTGCTGGCCTCACCATGTGCTGGCCTCACCATGCGGTGGCCGGAGCGGGGCGAGGGGGCGCCCTTGAGGTTCAGCTGCTCCCACTCGTTGCTGTTCAGATCCAACCGCCACAGGTCCTGTGGTCATTGGTGGTACACACAGCAGGGCACACAGCAGCAAATAGAGCAGGCAATGCTATTGTCTCTGTCAAAGCACAGCATAACACCACAAGTGCTACTGTGTGTCTCATGAGTGGAGTTGAAGGGCAGTGCAATGAGATGCATGCCGGGCCAGTGCAGCATGGGCGCAGGGCGCACCTTGAAGTGGTGGAACCTCTCCTGATTGGGTGATGTGAACTCGCCACCTGTGACCACACACATCGCACATCACATAGGGCACATGAGACATGTCACACGCACGCAGCAGACTCTCCAGATTTGAACGGTCGATGTATCGGTAAACAAGCACACGTTCCCCTGCCCAGGCCTCATCGCACAGAGCACCCTCACCACCCAGAGCACCCAGAGCACCCAGGCACCCAGAGCACGCAGAGCACCCAGAGCACGCAGGGCGACGCACCGAAGAGGAAGAGGAAGTTCTTCCAGGCGACGGCGTGGTGGCCGCTGCGAGGCGGCGGGCTGTTGGGGCTGCTGACGAGGCGCCACGTGGCCTTGTCCGCGTTGAAGCGGTACAGATCGCCGTACACATACGTCTGGTGGGGGCGGAGGGGGGAAGGGGGCGAGGGGGATGGGGAGAGGTGGTGAGAAGTTGGGCAGAGGAGGCAATATTGAGAACAGCAGCCATGGGCAAGGGCAGGAGCTCGGAGGAACGCACAGCAAAGGAAGGCGATATATGAGAAAAGCCAGTGATTCACATAGGTTCACTAATGGAGGGTGCAAGTAGTCCATCCCGCTGGTGTGACCCCAGGGCGCACCTTATCCCCGTTGTAGAACTCCCCGCCAAAGATGATGAGCTCCGTGTCCTTGAGAGGATTCACCACCATCTGCCACGCGGGCCAGCGTTGAGCGGGCGAGCGTTGAGCGGGCGAGAGGGAGGGGCCACAGAATGAAGGAGAGAAGGGGAAGCAGGAGGGAGCGAGGGGGGCGAGGGAGAGGAAGCGGGAGAGGAGGGAAGCGAAGGAGAGACAATGGAACGAGTGCTCATGGATGGGGCGTCTTACCAAGTACCACAACTTTGCAGTGAGAGGAAGCCGACGGGAGGGGAAGGGGGCGACTCACTGTGGCGTTGCAGCGAGGGGAGGGGGGCGGCACGCCCTCCTCCACGTGCACCTCCTTCTTCTTCGCTTCCTCTGCTGCTATCTTGGCCTGTACGCCATGCATGCCCCACATGCCCCACATGCCCCACATGCCCCGCATGCCGCACATGGCATGCATACCCCACGCATACCACAAGCCAAAGATGCCACAAATGCCATGCATACCCCACATGCCATGCATACCCCACATGCCACACATGGCACATATGTAAGCCCGAGAGACAGAACGGAGAGCAGAGGCCTCCCTGTGGTGCGTGTTGAGAGAAAATTCAGATCACACATCAGCGCCGCTCCCGCCCCTCGCGTTGAGACGAGCTGCTCCCCACTCCCTGAGAGCATCATCAGCAGTTTGCTGCCTCACCGCCCCTCTCCACCCCCCACCACCGCTGCCTACCCCATGCTTGCAATGCATGCCACTCCCATGCGCCACTCGCCATGCGCTATGGGCTGCTGCCTCTCACTTGAGGAGACTCAAAGCACAAGCCACGCCACCTCTTCACCCCCTCCCCCCACTTAGCGCTCCCCAGCCCCCCCCCCCCAAGTTGCGCACCAGGATGGCATCGATGTCGTCCTCCGCGTCGACCTTCTTCTCCTCGCGCCAGTCGCCCCATGCACTTCCTCATCGCCTCCTTTTTCACCCCCTTCCCCCCATACCCCTGCTCCCCAGCCCCCCCCCCCCCCCCCTGGGCGCACCAGGATGGCATCGATGTCGTCCTCAGCGTCCACCTTCTTCTCCTCGCGCCGCTGCTTCTTCGCCTCCGCCTTCGCCGTCTTGCGCTCCGTCTTCTCCTTCCCCTTCCCCGGCTTCCCCTTCCCCTTCTTCCCCATCCCCGCGAACCACCACCGCGTGCGCGCGCCTTCCGGAAAGACCTGCGCACGCGCGTCCGACGAGGGCGGTAGAGCGTCGGAGTGACTCACTACGAATGGCACTGGCTAGAACGGCGTCAGACGTGCAAGTGGCACCAAGTGAACCTCTTGGGAGCTCTCTTTGAAATGGGCTGGTAGTGACGGCAGCCGACGCCAAAGGAGGCAGGATGTGGGGTGCGACAAGCCGCGACGGCGTGTGCTGCAGCGGATCGACGGGCTTGGAATGGCGCAGCAGAAGCGACGGGAAAGGTGGTCTCTACAGGCTCTAAAACCTCCCGTGCCTCTTTTACAGGGTTATAGTAAATTCCGCCCCATCCTCGTTTTTGCAATACTCGAAATTTGTGTCACTTACGAACGCTTTTATGCGGGATGTAAAACCGCAGCACGATAAAGGCAACAAACTCTATCGGGCAAATCAAGTTATGACCAATCAGTTTACAAACAAATCACAGTCAAAGCGCAGTCAGTAGTGTCCTCAAGACTTGTCTCATTATCGCAATTGAATGGACCAATATTACCATATAAGTTACATATTTACAACCTATTGTGCTGTCGCACTTGTTAGTGGACAACTTTATTGCCGGCTCCTTCCGCTGAGTTCAATCGATGAAGGCGGCTCACTTGCGCTTGCCAGCGGGAGGTGGTGGTGCCTTGAGGGGAGGAGGAGGGGGGGCTCTGGGGGAGGAAGGCGGAGGGCTGGCCTTGGGGGCCCCTCCGGCAACACGGGCGAGGACACCAACAAAGGGGGCGTTGATGGAGGTGGAGGGCTCGACCTGCTGGTAGTTGTCCCTCTCGTCCCGGAATGCATCGCTGCCGTCCGGCCCGCCTATCACTGCTCCTGTCAGCTCGTTCAAGTTGGCGGCCTGCGGAGGGTGCATGGGGCGCAGAGGGCGGAGCAAGGTTGGGAGGGTGGTGGTGAATCTACATCACGAGATTGAATCGGTTATGGGCGTTGGTGTGCTGACTGGGCAATGGGCGTGGTGTGGTGTGGTGTGGTGTGGTGTGGTGTGGTGTGGTGTGGTGTGGTGTGGTGTGGTTAGTGTGGATGCGGCAGGGAGCGCACCTTGGAGTGAAAGTAAGGCCAGCCGTCGTTGCAGGCGATGGGCGTCTGGTTGACCCAGATGGACGGCAGCGATGCACCGCGGTGGTGCACGTGTTGTGGGAACGAGGAGGAGAAGCCCACCATGTAGCTCAGCTTCTTGGGATTCACGCCCAATATGTAGTCCACCTGCCCTCCAGATGCATGCATGGAGGAGTGGAGAAGGAGGGGAAACAGGATGGAGAGGGTGGGGGGAGGGAGTTGGGGGGAAGTGGAGACGACGAGGAGAAACCCACCATGTAGCTCAGCTTCTTGGGATTCACGCCAAGTATGTAGTCCACCTGCTCATGGTGCGCACGGGCGAGGGGGGAAGGGGGAGTGGGGGGAGGGAACACATGAAGAGGGGTGGAGAACAGGGGTTGGGGGTGCAGTAACATGCACAGAGTGGGTTTAGGGAACAGTAGCACAGGGGGAGCAGTAGCACAGGGGGAACAGTAGCACAGGGGGAGCAGTTGGAGACTGACAGGTTGAGAGCAACAAGGGCCATGCTGTAAAGTGTAGAGATTCTAGCCATGTGTATGGCAGTGCAGCATGGGGGATGGCGCGCATCTGGCAATGCAGCATGGGGGATGGCGCGCACCTGGCAGTGCAACATGGGGGAGGGGGCGCACCTGGCGTTTGACGAAGCGGCGCATGGCGGTGGGGGTGACGGGCGTGGAGTCGCACATGATGGCCGTGGCGTTGCCCGCACTGGCGGGAGCGGCATCAAGGATGTCAGCAAAGGCAGAGAGCACCATGCTGATGGCCGTCACGTACTGCAGGTTGCTCCACGACATGAGGAACAGCATGCCGCCTGTATTCGGTGAGTGGCACAGGGTGCACCGTGCAGGGGGGAGAAACATCACATGAGTTGCAGCACGAGGGATCCGATTGCAAGCGGGAAGTTGGATTTCTGATCTCTAGAGAGGTTGCGATTTGATCATAGTGTGCTCTCTAAAGGTGTGGGTGGCAGCACGGCACGCACCGGGTGATCTGATGCCGCGCACGACGGTGCCGCACACAAAGTCCTGGGCGCGCTTCAGATACAGCTCCAGCGAGGGGTCCTGCCGCCATAGGTACTCCTGAAGGTGGGAGGGGAGGGGGTGGGGATATGGAAGGGGGTTCACAGGGGTTATTGGGGCATGGTAGGATGGGATGGGAGCATGGTGTGGGATGGAGTGGCAATGGATGATTGGCCACGAAGCACCGTCCCCAGCAGCACCGTCCCCAGCAGCACCGTCCCCAGCAGCACCGTCCCCAGCAGCACCGTTCTCAGGGCCTTGCCCTCACCTTAGCGAGCAGCACTTGAGCGCCGGCATACTTGTTGTCCCATGAGAAGTTCTGCACTGATGATTGCGTGCCGCCCAGCTGCTTCTCGTTGCTCACGATGTAGTCCAGATAGCGGCTCTGCCCCGTGGCCCGGTACAGCCACACCGCCGCCCACAGCAGCTCGTCCTGGGCGGCATGAACAGCACGACACGTCAGCATGCACAGAGGAGGACACGTCAGCATGCACAGAGGAGGACACGTCAGCATGCACAGAGGAGGACGTGTCAGCATGCACATAACAGGAAACGGAAGCAACCAGAGAGAAAGGCACGTCAGCAGCATGTGGCCAGATTGGACATGTGAGCCGGTGCAACAGAGCAGGGGGGGCTTGGAGCGACACAACACAGCAGTGTGGTGCACAGGAGGGGGGCGGGGAGCGACTCACATTGAAGCCGGAGTAGGAGTTGTAGAAGGCGGAGGCGGAGGGGATGCTGTCCGTGTACTTCCGAGGGTACTTGCGCGCAAAGTTGAACAGCTGGTGCCGTGCGTTGCGGGGAGGGCAGGGGGGTTGGGGTTTTGAGGGTTTGAGGGAGGATAATGATTGGAAACCTTGGTGAATCGTGAGGGTGTAGACCTTTGGGAGGCACAGTGTTTGAGGAATTTGCGAGGCCAACGCAGCAGGGAGCAAGGGATGGGAGCATGCGTGAGCAGCGCACCTGGCGCGCGTGGGTGAGCAGCGACTGCGAGTAGTTGGCGTCGGTCTTGCTGAACACCATGCTCGACGCCGCCAGTGCTGCCGCCGCCTCAGCAGCGGGCTCGGTGCCGGGGTGCTGCGGGTCGAGGCGGTATGCCGTGCGCGGCGTGGTCATGTCCTCGGGGCGCTGCCAGCAACTGTGGTCCGACTGCCCGTCGCCCACCTGCCAATGCCGTTCACGCATGTGGGGATGGCATGTGCGCATGCAGTCAGCAAGGTGGGGCGAGGTGAGGCGAGGAACAGAAAGGGCATTGGAGGGCGGCTCAGAATGTGAGAGTGACTATTCAGTAGGAAAAGAATTGGTGAATGTAACAATGGTTACACAGACGGACAGCCCGTCTGCCCATTGTCGGGGCACCTGCACCCTCATCCGCACACATGCTCTCTCACCCTCATCCGCACACATGCTCTCTCACCCTCATCCGCACACATGCTCTCTCACCCTCATCCGCACACATGCTCTCTCACCCTCATCCGCACACATGCTCTCTCACCCTCATCCGCACACATGCTCTCTCACCCGCGCACCTGCGCGTAGAGCACGTTGGGTTTGGGGTGCGCGTGCACGAAGAAGTGCGCGCCCCACCGCACGGCGTCGCGCGCCGCCTTGATCTGCCCGAGCGCCGCGAGCTGCGGGCCGTACTCGACGACGCTCCACGCGAGAGTCGTGACGGTGAAGGCGAGCGGGAAGCCGAACTTGACGTTGTCGCCCGAGTCATAGTACCCGCGCGTCAGGTCCACCTGCCCGCCGCCGCCACCGCGGGGAGGGGGAGGGGAGAGAGTGGGTAGGGGGGACGGGGGAGGAAAGGCCGTGTGAGGGATTCGTTCGGGGGAACGCAAGCTGCGCGAGTCCGTTGAGCGGACGGTGTGCTCCTCTCATCGCACTGCTCTGGGCGCATCTGCTCTGCTTTACTCTGAACCCTCACGCTGTGGGTGAGGCGAGCCGTACGGAACATGCTAAAGCGCCGTTGATAGTCCCATTTCCGCCCTTTTCTTCCGCATTTACTCCATCGCCTCCTCCCTTCCGCAAGTACCTGTCCCTAGCCCCTGCCGCCTGCACCTTCCCCGCGTCCGCCTATACTCCCCCCCTTACCCCTTCCGCCTTGCCATCCGTGAGTCCCGAGTCGCCGCGCCACGTGGGCAGCTGCGAGCGCGGCAGTCTACCGGACCGCTGCAGCTGGAAGAAGAAGATGCATTTCTCCAGCGCCTCGCTGTAGTTCAGCCGCGCCGCCGCCGCCGCCTCTACCGGCGCCGCCACTGCCGCTGGGTCTGGCGGTTTGGCGGCCCACGAGCGTTGGGGAATGCTGCTGAAGGGCAGCGCGACGGCGAGCAGGAGAACGACGAGGAACGCGTCTAATCGCGCGGCTTCCATCGACGCGCAAAGCGTACAGGTTACTAAAGAACGGGAATTGCTTATTGGCGTAACTACGACTGCCTAGCGGAAAGCAATGTGGATGTATCTTATGCTTTTGTTGATTTGTACACGTGCAATCGAACATGAATCGCGTGGTCTGCTTGACAAGGTGAAGGAGATCCTATGGGCCTGCTCTCATATTCACGGGCTCACTCGATGAACCTTCTTATTACCGTATTTCGCATACCTGTACCGCAATATACCCTGACTCAGATCTCCCAGACTCGAGCGGAACCGCTCGGGTGCTGTTGTGTACGGCAGGTGCTCGTGGCACGTGACTTGCTCGCTTTCTGCTCTGAAAGAAACGCCAAGCGGAGAGGAAGCGGAGCGGGGCGGGGAAGGCAGGTGAAAAGTGGACCTCCCCGAAGTGCGATTTGTTCCCCGCTGTGGCGCCCATTTGCGTTTCCACCTGCGCCCAGCTGCTCCGCCGAATCGCTCACAGGTAGTTGGGCGGGTGCGCGCCGCCGTAACTCACCTTGCGCCTAGCGAAATTTCTCCAGATCACGAACTTCCGGCGGCGGAGTATTCATTGTTTCGCCAACATTCAATCAAATCGCAAATAGCCTGGAAGAAATGTAACTGAACCGGGTGCCCCCTATTAACTTACTCGTTAACGCATAACCACAAAAGTAGCAATCATCATCTAGTTCCTCTGCTACTACTCTATACCATACTATATGGGTCATTAGCAATACATGTTGCTAAGAAAATAGGACCTCGTGCAAACAAGGCGCAATATAAAACGCTAAACATTTAGGCATTGTTTTACAACCCTTGTTACATGCCGTCCAGCAGCTGCAGGGCCTGTTTGAGGTAGTCCACGGCAGCAGGGACATCATCAAACGCCAGCGCACTCACAGCAAAGCGCGCAGCGCGGTGGGCATCCCCCACCTTGCCCGCTGGGGGGGCCTGCCCACCCATTCCCATGCCCGTGCCCGTGCCTTTGGTCGAGCCTGCGCTAGTGTCTCTGGCTGTGCCCGCAGCAGTGCCTGCTGAGGCATTGGCAGCGGGCTTTGATGCGGTGGGCAGGGGGGCTGAGAAGGACGATGGGGCAGTCGCTGCTGCTCGTGGTGCGCCTGTGCCTGCAGGGCTGATTGACGATGTTGTCGCTGCAATGACGGGTGTGTTGCAATGGGGAGAGAAGCAAGGATGCGCATGTCAACGCAAGAAGGTTGAGAGAGGGGGAAGGACTAGGAGCAAAAAGAATAAGAACGATGAATGGAATGACTTGGACGACTTGTGGATGGATGCGATGGAGTGTGAGGGAGAGGGAGAACCCAGGCAAGGGCTGTGAGGGCATGGCAAGGGCTGTGAGGGCATGGCAAGGGCTGTGAGGGCATGGCAAGGGCTGTGAGGGCATGGCAAGGGCTGTGAGGGCATGGCAAGGGCTGTGAGGGCATGGCAAGGGCTGTGAGGGCATGGCAAGGGCTGTGAGGGCATGGCAAGGGCTGTGAGGGCATGGCAAGGGCTGTGAGGGCATGGCAAGGGCTGTGAGGGCATGGCAAGGGCTGTGAGGGCATGGCGGCACACAAGGGCGGTCAGGCAGCATGGGGGGACAGCGAGCTCACCAACACCTCCCCCTTGCGATCGCCCCGCCCCTGGCCCCTGCTGCACTCCTCCCTGTGCCCATCCCCCACCGGCTCCTCCCACTCCCCCTGTTGCTGCTCCCCCTGTGGCCCCAGCACCCCCTGGCGCTGCTCCCCCAGTGCGGTCGGGGCGCAGCAGCGGCACTGAGGGCAGCACCGGCAGACCCAGGATGTCCTGCTGCTGCTGGGCCGAGGGGGAAACGAGGGAGGGGGAAAGGAGGGAGGGGATACGTGCGTGGGAGAAAGGGATGCGCAGGGGTTGAGAGGGGGGGTGGAAGTGATGGTACCAAGGAGGGTAGGGTATGATAAGGGTGGTATTGAGGAGGGTGATAAGTGAGGATGGGTTGCAATGTGAGTGAACGGAAGGTGCAGTGCCGTATGCAAGCAGAGCAGTGAAGAGGCAGGGCGAAAGAAGATGCATCACATGGGAAACACTCTGCCTTGAACACCTGACTACCCTCTCCTACCTCTCCTCACCTCTCTTCACCTCTCCTCACCTCTCCTCACCTCTCCTCACCTCTCTTCACCTCTCCTCACCTCTCCTCTCCTAACCTCTCCTCTCCCCTTTCTCCTCACCTCTCCTCTCCCCCTTCTCCTCACCTCTCCTCTTCCCCATCTCCTCACCTCTCCCCCATCTCCCCACCTCTCCCCCCATCTCCCCACTCACCTGGCTTCCCTGTGTCGCATGACCAGCCCCACCAGCACTGTCCGGGGCCGCAGAGGGAGTAGCAGCAGCAGCAGCAGCAGCAGCAGCAGGTGCGGAGAGCAGGGCGGCAGCACCAGCAGAATCAGCAGCGGGAGGGCCGGGCGTGGGGTGGCGCCCCTCTGCCAATGCTCTGCGGATGTCTGCTGCCTTCCACGCTGCGTACCGCTGCTTCTGCTCCACCTGCCCGTGTGGGTGGGGGGTGATGTGGAGTGCGGAGGGGGGGATGGAGAGTGGGGAGGACGCTCTTTGCAATGAGAGAAAGGAGGATTTGAAGAAGAGCAAGAATGTCCACATGCAGCATGGGGAGGAGTTACATGTGCACTCAGCAGTGCCAGAACAACGATACAGCAGTGGCGTGGCAAGGAGCAGTGCGATGGCAGGGAATGGTGACCACCTCAGGAGGCAGCTCGCCGAACTGGCGCAGCACATCGAAGAACAGTCCCGCCGCGTAGAACGTCTTGGCTGTTGAGCTGATGGGTTCAGGGGCGACAGGGATGGGAAGGAGGTTATGGGGAGAAATGGGGGGATGAAGAGAGGTTAGGGAAGGCAGAACATGGAAGGGGAGATGCAAGCGAAGGCGCATGACATTGAAGAACAGCCCCGCCGCGTAGAACGACTTGGCTGTTGAACTGACGGGGCGAGGGGCAACAGCGACGGGGAAGGGGGTTGTGCGGGGGAGGGGGAAGAGGGAGGTGGAATAGGGGAAAGAAAGGGGAAATGAGAGCTGGTGCAAGGTATAGGAGACGCAAAGAAAGGCGCACAGAAGAAGTATACACAGGCTTGAAGCGAGCGAGGACAGAGAGGCGTACATGTCGGCCTGGCCAGCGCGGTCCTGCTTGTCCGCCTTGGCAAAGACACGCTCTGCAAAGCCCTCCACGTGCAGACTGTCCTCCGGCGATAGCTGTATCTCCGCCTTGTCCTGCCAGGGGGAGAGGGGGTTGTGGAGGGGGGGGGGAGGACGTCGAGGGGGGGGGGAAAGTGGGAGGAGATGCACGGGAGGAAAGGGGAAGGTGTGAGGATGATGGACCTGCGGCAGTAAATGCTCCGCAGTGGGAGATGGTGTGAGGGCGGGGTTAGTGGAAAGAGGAGCACTTATCATGATGCAACGATTCCATGCATGGGGAAAATGGCAGACGCAACAAGGCATAGCCATGACGAACGTGCGCCGTGCCGTTAGTGCACGGCAGCCATCGTCATGCGGGGCGGCATGGCACGCACCTTCTCTAATCGGGCGAGCAGCGAGAGCAGCAGGTCGTTGGTGTCCTTGCCCCTCTCCTTGCCCCTCTCCTTGCCCCTCTCCTTGCCCTTCTCCTTGCCCCTCTCCTTGCCCCTCTCACATCGTCCTGCGGCTCATCACGACACACACCTTCTCCAGTCGGGCGAGCAGTGAGAGCAGCAGGTCGTTGGTCTCCTTGCCCCTTCTTTGCTCGGCACCTTGAGCCCCTTGTTGCATGGTAGCCATCGTCCTGCGGCCTGACACCCACCTTCTCCAGTCGGGCGAGCAGCGAGAGCAGCAGGTCGTTGGTCTCCTTGCCCCGCTCCTTGCCCTTCTCCTTGCCTCTCTCGTCATGCATGGCAGCTATCGTCATGCGACCCGCCACGCACCTTCTCCAGGCGGGCGAGCAGCGAGAGCAGCAGGTCGTTGGTCTCCTTGCCCCGCTCCTTGCCCTTCTCCTTGCCTCTCTCGTCATGCATGGCAGCTATCGTCATGCGACCCGCCACGCACCTTCTCCAGGCGGGCGAGCAGCGAGAGCAGCAGGTCGTTGGTCTCCTTGCTCCTCTCCTTGCTCGGCACCTTGAGGCCCTTGTCCGTCGCGTACAGCCGACCTGCCCATGCCGCATGCCCCATGCCCATGCACACATGCCGCATGCCCCATGCACACATGCCCATGCGCACATGCCCATGCCCCATGCCCATGCACACATGCCCATGCACACATGCGCATGCCACCCATACGTACACGATCAATTGCGGACCAAAACACATGCGCCCATCCACTCGTCCTTGACTCTCCCTAGTCGCGATTGAAATGCTCTCACCAACCCCTTCCGCCACTCACATACGGACAACGAATCTGTACCTTGCAACGATAATAAAACGACGTGATTCTTTCCCTTTGCTTCGGCTGACTCTTGGCATTGAACCCACGAATTAAATGTTACTCGCCCTAGAAACCGCACGTTGCAAGCCCGCCGCGAGTCTAACGACGGCGTCGCACCCCATGCCTGCACCGCGGGGTACGGTAGAATCACGCCTGGAATTTTTTGAAACGGAGTTCTCACAGTAATAGGCGACGAGCGGGTCGTGCTTCTGCAGCTCATCGGCGCGCTGCAGGAACGGCATCATCGAGCGGCCTACGTCCTCGGGTCCTGACGCCATCGCTAACCTCCTCCTCCGTCTCGATGCTGCCTGCTGGCTACGACAACTCGCGACGATACGGCGCTTATTGTGGAACGAATGTGCTGGTTGGGCGACAGGCTCAGTGGGGTGGAACGAATGGTGGCAAGGATTGCTGCTGCAAGGAACATCGAGATTGCCGTGATGCTGAGGACTTCGTCGAGTCAGGAAAGCTTTGGGAATTGGTCTGCGCGAGGGAGCCGTGAACCAATGTCATGCGCCAGATTCCAATTTCCAGCACGACTTGTTCCCGCTAATGCTAAACTCATTCGGGTATCTTGGTACACTTTACGCAAAAATGCCTTGCACCACCCGCAAAATACCATGACTCCAGGCTTAAATCCTGTAGCCGTGAAACAGTTAAAAAATATAGTTTTTGGAACACAGTCCAAGTCCCATCCCAACACGGTTTGAATACAATACAGGCTATTTGAACTGAAGGAGCTGGTAAACATTACTCTCCATGTAGATTTGCGAGATGCGGACCTAGCGTGTGATATTGGAAAGCATAGCGCGTGTGTAAAACGTTCAAAGCAGTTAGCTCCCACATTGTGCCATCATCTTTTGTATACTCGCAGCTTGTGCTGCAGTAGGTTGAGTGGAACCCCAACCCGCATACGACCCCATGCCCTCTGGTACAGGTGCCACCACTCCTGTGGCCTGGCTGTTGACTACATTCATCAGCACGGGGCGGAGAGAGCTTCCTGCCTTGGAGGAGACGAGGTTAACGTTGCTGAGGTTGATGCCGCCACATGGGACCGTCGCACTGCATCGGATGTTCATTCCGTTCCTGCACCCACACACATGGCACACCGTTTTTACATGAGAATATGGCTACTTCGGCGAAAGACATCTAGTGTGGTGGTCTCCTTTATGGAGTTAGCAAAGACATTCTGGGTATGCGACAAGTTGCGCGGCATCTTACCGTGTGGTGGTGCCGTAAACGTTGGAGTATGTGATGTTGACCAGTGCCACGTTGTCAGGCGCTATGCCACAAAAGAAGTCCTGATGCGAGTCGCAGTAGAACTGTGGCACAGAGGCGGCACAACAGAACGGGATAATAACAAGCCTTCCATTTGAATGCTGTGAAGTCTATAAGAACTCGGCAAATGTATTATTGTTGCTGCTGCTGCTGCTGCTGCTGCCGCCGCCGATGCCGCTGCTGCTGCGGATGGCAAGCGCGGTCTCACTCACCTGGTTGAGAATGATGGCGTTGTCAGTGTCGGTCATGTACACATTCTCATATCGCACGTTGCGCACCATCCCCAGCCCGCCCTGCCATGTCTTGATGCGCAGCCCGTTATCGAGGTTGGCTATAATGAGGTCCTTGAACGTCACATCCGACACACACGCCACTGCCCCACCCGCTCCCAGGCTTCCAATGCTGCAAGGGAAGGGAAGGATACAGGCACAGGAAGGGAGAGTGAGAAGGAATGGGAGGGAGAGTAGACAGGGAAGTGTATGGCTGGAGCAATCACGGCTGGAACAGTCACATCGACAAGCTTTTTTTCACACCCCTGGTGCCTCGGCAATCACCTCAAATCATCTCACCTGATACCGTGCCCAGCCGTGGCAATGAGGTTCCTGACAGTCACGTTCACCACGCTCTGAGCGCCCCTGGCAACGAGCGACACGTCGTCATCGCCCCCGTGGAAGGTGCAGTTCTCGATGACGGCGTGCCGCACGCCGAGCAGCTTGAGCGAGTCCGTGTTGGGGGATGTCTCAGGGCTGTTGGTGGTCACGCCGCGGATCCACAGCCCCTCCGTGCCGTACCCAAACACGTGGTACATGGGCGGGTTGCTGGAGGGGGGGGGAAGGGGGGAGAAGGGACGTGGGAGGGGCAAACGGGGGTGAGTGTGAGGGGAGGGGGGGTGAGGGATATGCAGAGCATGGGATCCACAGCCCCTCCGTGCCGTACCCAAACACGTGGTACATCGGCGGGTTGCTGGGGGGGGAGAGGAAAAGCAGGGGAGAAAAGGTGCGGTTAGGAGTATGCACAGCTGGGATACGGGCCCTTCGTGCCTTGCACAGACACATGGTACATTGGCTAGTTGCTGGGACGTGGGCGGGCTGGATGTGTGGGAGGTACTGAGGGTAAGGCATAGGGATAATAGCACACAAACTTCAGACACACACACACACCACAGCAGACACAGCAGCGTGAGTCACAGGAGCAAAGCTCACATAGCTGCTGGTGGGCGTGTGGGAGGAGAGAGCATACCGCAGCAGCAGCCCATCAATGGTGGTGTTGTGGCAGTCAATGAGCGCAATAATATGTGGCCTTGTCGGCGCCTTGGACCCCCAGAACTTCCTCCCATTGCCATCGATCGCCCCCTCCCCCCGCAGCACCAGCCCCGTCAGGCCCTGGAACTGAAACAGCCCGTTGCTGGCTACGCCGATGATGGTGCCGTTGAGGTAGAGGGATGGCACGGGGTAGCCGTCCTTGGAGGTCGGGCCGTATATCGTGCCGTCCACCTGAGCAAAGGTGGGGGGGGGGGGGGGAATGAGAAGGAAGGTGGATGAGAAGGGAGGGGGATGAGAAAGGAGGGGGATGAGAAGGGAGGGTGAAGAGGAGGGTGGGGAACATGATGGTGATTGGGTGAGCGGCTATGCGGGGTAGTGGGGATTGCAGCAGCCTGTTGCTGGCGACGCCGATGGCGACGGCGTGGGGTAGCCGTCCTTGGAAAGAGGGACGTATATGGAGCCGTCCACCTGCAGTAGGGGAGAGTAGGAAACGGGGGGAAACGGGAAGGTGATTTGGGTGAGGGACAATGCAGGCGGGTTGGGAAGTTGGGGGTAGTGACAGCGTGGAGGGCGAGGGGGCGGGGCCGCTGTGTAGTCTGGAGAGTGAGGGGGTGTGTGGGGAATGGTGAATGAGGGGAGCGAGGGACCGGGGGAACGATGGAGCGCGAGAGCGGGGAAGCGGTACCTGCAGCGTGAGGCCGGCTCTGCACGACCCGTTCACCGTGATGGACCGATTCAGGTAAAACGCGCCCTCCCCCACGCGCACTATCGCGCGCCCGCCGCTCCCCTCCGCGCTTTCACACGCAGCGCGGAATGCGCTATCGAACGCGGCCCACGAGTCGGTCGCGTTGTCCCCCACCGCGCCGAACCCCTCCTGCACGTCGAAGAGCGGCGTTTCCGGCGGGTCCGCTGCGAGCGGCTCGACGCCCGCGTACGAGGACGGCCACTCCGGCGGGGGCGGAAGGGGGGCGGGCGGCGAGGGCGGGGGGGGCTTGGGGGATTTCCCTGGCTTTGGGGGGGACGGCGGCTTGGGGGACTTGGGGGGAGAAGGGGACTTGGGCGGCTTGGGGGATTTCGGCGGTTTCGGTGATTTGGGCGACTTGGGCGGTTTGGGCGGCTGATCACGCTCTAGCGTGAGCGTGGAAAATGTGGGCGCATCCCGCGTATCGGCCGCTGGCGCGGACTGCGCGCGGGAGGCGGTGCGGAGAAAGGAGCGCGAGCGCGCGAAGGGGAACATCCAGGTGTGGAGGGAGAGCGATGACGTCAGCTTGGACTGCGCGTGCGGGAACAGCGGTTGCGCGTCGGCGTTCGCGTTAGCAGGAACGACGCGGCGGGAAACAGAACCGAATGAGCGCGGCAGCCAAGCGCCGCGAGATATGCGGGGAAGGTACGTCCATTGCGCTGATGGGTCGGGAGAAGGCGGAAATAGACGCGGGGAAGGGGCGGGAGATTGGTTGTGAGGGGAGTGGTGTATACTTGAGCGGAAAGAAGACGAGGGCGAAGCCAGAAACGGAGAGGACGCGGAGAGAGAGATGCCATGGGGGGTGGGTGGAAGGCAGTAGGCTGGGCGGGGAGCGCGAGATCGGGCGGCGGCTGGAGTGCGCCGTACCGTGGGCGGCGAGAGGAGCGAGCGCCGCACACAGCAGCAGCAGAAGCGCGACCGCGAGCCAGCGCGAGAGGGGCGACATGCCGTTTTTTAGGGTGCAGTGCGAGTTCTGGGTAGTGACGGAGGGGGGGAGGGATGTTAGTGAGCGAGGGAATGAAAGGCATTCGACCAGGAGATACGACGCCAGAACGAAGGGAGGGACATGCGAGTGAGCTGACACTCGGCCGCCATGGCTGGGGGAGAGCACTCACCACGTTGCGTTGATGCCGCCGATGCTGCATACGCGCGAGTGCTGGTTCTACAAAAGCTATCCTGGCTAATCGTACGTGTAATGGATATATTTCAGGTTATTTAGGGCTTGCGCGGGAGCATGCAGACATAAACAGACGAAGTCGGATGGGAGAGCAAGTATATGCTGAAGTGGGGCGAACGGCGGCGCTACTACAAGCGATCCTGCGTCTTCGAGTCCGATCGTGAGGCTTCACAAAGCCATGACTGATGTTCTCTCAAACTGGCTATTTATTGCTGGCTAAGTCCTACTATGTACTCTGTAGGGTCGCGCCGCGACCAGGCTTGTGCAGGGGGAGGTGTGCAACTATTTTCGGTGTTTGCAAGTGAAATTCGCTGCTCTTGCCGCAGTCACCCATGATTTCGAGAGTGGTGTTTGTTGGCGATGGCTGGCGAGGCGACGACGACTGCAGAACAGTTGGGTTGGTGTGGAGTGGATGGGTGAGTGACGGACGGGCTAGCGGTACTGTAGCTGGCTCGAACAATGAAGGTGGAAACAGGCGGCGGCATCATTGAAATATTCGGTGCGCGCCGTCAAGCGCGCCCAGAGATCCAAGAAATTTTTCTGCACGGAAGCTGGCGACATTTGCCACCATTGCGAGGTAAGTAACCAGCGACCGACGAATCGACGAATTCCTCCAATCATACAAACCAGCCAGTCGATTTGCTTGAGCGAACGCACTTCCGCTGGCATCGCGGGCGCTCCCATCACGGGAGACGTTGAGCACGTTTCCTATTGGTGTGATGTGGCTCGGATTCGGTGAGACTTGGCTCGGTCCACATTGCTTGGAGACGTTTTTCAAAACGGCTGGTATGGCGAACCTCCCTATCCTAAAGCAACGTTCCGTAATCGCACCGAAGGAAACCAAGTGTGTTCCTGCCCTGAATGTTGTCGCCTCGCCATCCCCACACTTAGCTGAATAGGCGATGTCCCACGGAAATTTTAACAAACTCTTGGCCAGACACTCCACAATCAGCAAAGCTGTACTGAAGTGGGCAAAACCACCAGTGCCACAAAATTTTGTCACCTAAATCCAAACCTCAGCCACAGCTTCGGAATTGTTGGCTCGACTTCAATAATATCTGACAGCACCAGAACAGGCACACGCCTCTAGCCAATTTGCAAGTGCCAAGGGAACATTACAGTACAGGAAACACGGGTGGAGCCGAGTCGAGCTATCCCCGCTGAATCCGTTATAGAATGTAGAGAAGGTGTAGTTTCAGAGATGTTATAATTTTAAAGGTGATTTCATGCTAAAGGAGCTGCAACTATGAAGTGGAGTTTTGCAACTTGATTCACGAACAAAACTACGCAGTCAGCCTCTCAGCGCCATCCAAAGCATCCCGCATTGCGATCGCGATTTCCACATGAGCGGCGGAAACATAAACTATGGCGGGCTGTCGGAGGAGGCGGCGCGCGCGGCGGGGATAAAGGGGAAGAAGAGCACGTTCAAGGAGAAGACGTGGGTGAACCCGTCGCGCACGCTTTACATCACCAATGTGCCGCCCGGCGCCTCCACGGAGCAGCTCGAAGGGGTGAGCGAGCACCGCGGGATTAACGCCGGGACGTTGCGGGAAGATTCTGATTTCCCACTCTTGCAGTCTTCAGCGTGTTTGCGTGTACTGCACGGGAATGCTTGTGGCCAGAAAAAAATCAATACTTATGCTGGCCGCGAGATCGCGCGGGTCTCCTCATGGATTCGCCGAACCGTTGTTTTATCCTGCCTGACCGACGGACTGTGCGTGCGAGAGCGATGAGCGCGAGCAATCAAGAAAGCCACGATTTGGTACACCTGTCTCCCTTTCCTTGTGCCGGGCTGAGCTGTGGCTAATGCTGTGCCCTGCGCCAGCGCACGCTGCACGCTTATAGCACACGCTACCGCATGCCAGCCCGGCACCGTTCACACACACTGGTGTAGGTGCTGTGCAACTCAGTCACACTACGCTCCTCTCTTCCTACTCCCACCCTCCCCCCCTTCTTCCTTCTCCTATCCCCGCCTCCAAACCCCGTCCGTGTCTCCCCTCCGTGCATGTGGATTCACTCACGGCGCACAGCTCTTTCGGCATCTGGAGGGCTTTATTGCTTTCCGTCGGGTGAGATGCCATGCCGCCGCCGCCTCTGCTGCTGTTGACGCTGCCGCTGTTGCCGTTGCCGCTGTTGCTGCTTCTTCTGCTGCTGCTGCCGCCACCGCTGCAGCTGCTGTTGCTGTCGGTGTCGATGCTCGCCATCTAACGCGCCCTTCTGTTCCAAGCAACTCATGCAGATGCTGCCACGTGTATGCTGTAACATGTTATGTATGTCACATGTGCGCGCTATAACTGTACACTGTCTGTACGTGGCGTGCAGGTGCGCAGCATGTGCTTCGTTGACTTCGCTGAAAAGCAGCATGTGAGTGGGATGCTGGTCGGTAGCAGCAGTAACTGGGATGCTAGCAGCGTGTGTGTGACTGAGAGGCTGGGTGGGTGCACGGGAATCCTTGGCACAGCAGCCTGCTATATGCTTCCATGCGTCTGCTGTTCTCTGATTGTTTTCCCTTCACTGCTGTCCGTGCCACTGTCACCAGTGTATGCAATTTCTGCTGCCCAGCGAGTCATGGTGCTGCTAGTTTCCATTCCACACCTCTGCATCTACTCGCCTTTCGCTGCACCTGCCTACCCAACCACCGCCTCCCCATCCACCTCTTCTCATGGCAGTTCAACCGCCAGGTAACAGCGTCCTTGGTTACGACCAACGAGGAACGTTCCACTCTTCCCTCGTCTCGCCTCATACATGCCTCCCCTCCCCCGCACACTGCCTCACATGCGTGGCGTGGCAGGCAACAGCAGCCATGTGGAAGACCAACGGGCACAAGTTCAAGCCACACCACGATGGGCTGCTCGTCAGCTACGACAAGGTATATGCCCTGGCCGCCTGCCTGCCCGCCTGCCTGCCCGCCTGACCGCCTGCCTGCCTGTGTGCATGTCAGCCTGCCTGCCTGCCTGCCTGCTTCTTCTGCTCATAACGTGTCATTCATTCCATCATCTGCTTCACATGCAAATTCAGCCCCCCTTGGCCCATTCAACCTCTGCCCCTCCCTGCCCACCACTTTTGGCCCACTCAATGCTATACCATCGCCTTCCTCACCGCCTTTCTGCCCACCCATCCTCCCCCCCATCCCCCCCCCAAACCCCCTCTCCCCCCACCCATGGCAGGACGACGGGGAGGAGAAGGGCGGGTGGAGCATGAGGCAGCGGGTGGAGGAGCGGCAGCGCAAGGCCGAGGCGGACCTCTCCCGCGTGCTCTACCGCTGCGCCGCCTGCACCCACTTCTGCTTCAAGCTAGGTCAGTTTCGAGTTGAGTTGCCTCAATAGTGCTCTACCGCTGCGCCGCCTGCAACCACTTCTGCTTCAAACACGGTCCGTTCTCCTCACTGCTGCCACTGCCACTGCCACTGCCACTGCCACTGCCACTGCCACTTGTGTCGCACGGTTCTTTCAGCGAGGATGGGCGCCTGCTGCCCGAGCCCACCTGCCGGTTGGGTTGGTTCATTTGCCTCAGCTGATCAAGCTGTTCCTCGCGCCACGCCATCTCTCGCCCCAGTCATCGCGTTTCCCACCTTGACCTTCCCCCCTTTCCGTTCAGCATCCCTCCCCCCGTCTGCCTTCCCTCTCTCCCTCCCTGGTCTCCACTCCTCCCGCCCCTGTCCGTTGGTGCACACCAGCGCGCCCCCTATCGGTGCTACCCGAGAGGCGCACGGGCGGCTGCCGGGTGGTGGAGGCGGCAACACACAGAGTCCCCTTGCATTCTCCAATGCCCCTCTCTCTCCAATGCATCTTCCATCTGCATCACTGCCGTGCAGCGCGCCCCCTATCGGTGCTCCCGGAGAGGCGCACGGATGGCAGCAGGGTGGTGGAGGCGGCAACAGACCTGGTCACCATGATGGCTGTCAAGGGCGGCCAGAAGCTGCTCAAGAGGTGGGTGTTTGTCATCAGTGCAAGAGCAGTGCGAGACCATAACAGACCTGGTCACCATGATGGCTGTCAAGGGCGGGCAGAAGCTGCTCAAGAGGTGGGTGTTTGTCATCAGTGCAAGAGCAGTGCGAGACCATAACAGACCTGGTGACCATGATGGCCGTTAAGGGCGGCCAGAAGCTGCTCAAGAGGTGGGGGTGCGGGCACAGGGCTGAGTCTGCTCAGGAGGTGGTGGGGGGAGGGAAGAGAGGGCAGAATCTGTTTAGGAGGTGTTTGAGGGAACCCCTTTACACACCTGCTTTGTTTAGCTGTTGTTTTGCTGCTTATCGCACTCTTTTTGGAAACCCCCATCCGTTCTCCTTTTCCCCTTCCCATTTCCCCACCACTAGCCTCTTCATTTCTTGTGCTGCTCCCTCTTTACTTGAATCTTGTGTGTGTATGCATATGGATGCGTGCATGCGTGCATGCATGTGCTGATGTTATACATGCATCATCGAAATATGCTTGGATGTATGTGTGTGCTCTGTGGGACTGAGTGAATGACTAACCATACATGCATGCATGCTTGTGTATGCCTTGGCATGCATGTCAACGTGCATGTGCATGCATGCATCATGCCATGTGGACTGTGATGGGCCAGCAACCGTGGCACTGGTGTGCGGACATCACGTGGAGCTCGCCTTCTCACTGCCCAACCATGACATGGGGGAACAACGCCGCTGCTCATGTGCTGCCTGCGCCCACACGCCACCGCAACGGCCCTGCCTCGACCTTGCCACTGCACTCCCTGTCTCTCTGTGTGCCATGCTCGTCCACGTGGTTCCTTCAACGCCGTGGGTGCTACACGCGGGGCAGGGAGAAGGGCGTGGAGCGCCAGTTCCGGTACAACTGTGAGCTGTGTGACGCCTGCATCGCCTACCGCCCCGTGCCCTATGAGCAGGACTGCAAGTACATCTACCTCTTTCCTGAGGTCAGTGCGGGTATGAGCGGCAGTAAAATTTGACACCCAGAAAATGGTACAGTGGTGGTATGTACTCAATATTGCAAGTGTAGCCACCTCCTCTCTGCCACAACCTCCCACCATTCCATGCCACACAACAGATAAACGCTTCTGGGGCGCCTTAATAGCACCACAGCACCTCACACTGCATTTTCAGCCTTTCCCCTCTAGGTCTCCTGCGCAAGTCCGACCACACACGCTCCTCCTTCCCTCCCCCTGTTCCCCTCCCCCCTCCGCTCATCACGCCAGGCGTTGACTGAGTCCAAGCCAGGCCAGCCGAGCCTCTCCTCCCCGGCAGCAACAGTGGCAGCAGCGGTGGCAGCAGGAGTGCCAGTGTCACCAGCGGTGGCTCAGCTGCGACCCATCACCGTGGCAGCTGACGGGCTGCCCTCCATCCTTGGCCGCCCCGGCATGCCGCTCCCTGCCATTGCTGAAGACGCTGCCACTGCTAATGCTGCTGCTGCTGCTGCTGCTGACGGTGCCATTGGTGGTGGTGCTGATGCTGGGGGTGGTGAAGCTGCTGCTGCTGCTGCTGCTGCTGGAGACGGGCAAGGGGATGGGAAAGGGGAGGCGGTGAAGGGAGGGAAGGAGGGTGAAGACGGGAAAGGGGGGGAGGAGAAGGTTCATGGAAGCAGTGACAATAGGGAAAGCAGGCAAGAAGAAAGCAGGCCACAGGTGCGTGTGGTCCTGTGTGTTGTATGTTTCTGATGCCCTGCAACCAAGGGTTGAACCATGGCTGCCATCTCTGAGTTGTCCGTGAATCACTTTTAATCCTCCTCTTCTCCCCACATTCGATGCTCTCTCTTCCACTCAGCAGGATGCGAGCTCCAAGGACTAACTGCAACGCCATGGCTCCCAGCACCAGACAGACAGCCACAGGACTTAGGTCTCGTCGAATCGAACAAAAAGCACGCAGTTCATCAGCTAATTGTGTTTTCTGCCTCGCTGGTTTAGGCCTGTCTTGAGTGCCTTGTCTCGTCTTGTGGCATTGTTTTCGGAAAAACAGGCACGATTGAGCAGGTTTCTTTTCAACTGCTGTCCGGTCTCAATTTATCCAGTCAAATTTTCCACATAAGTCAGCGTTCGGGTAGAATTCCCGATTGAGTTACCGCCGAAATCTTTTCACTGAGTCATTCATTACCGCGTTCGCGCCCACCATCACTCCCTTGCTAGCAACCAGCCTGCCAGTCGCGATTTCACCACCCACCACCCGATTCGACCCGCCGTGTCAATGATTTGCCTTTCCGCCAATTCAACTAGGCCGCTTCCGACCAGCCTCGATTCGCGCGCGCCATGACTCCGCGCCCGCCATGACCGCCTCATTCCCCCGCCGCCACTCCGCCAATCCGTCGCCCGATCCCGTGAGCTCTCCCCTTCCGCCCCTGCCGCACCGGTTTCACTGCGCATTCTTCCCCGCGTCCCTTCCGCAACCCCCCTCTCCTCACCTCTCCGCTTCCCCCCCGCGCATCGTCGAAATTGTAGTCCGTTGCAGGTCGTCGCGTGGCGAGGGGCCGCGAAGGTTTCGCAGCCTCGCCGTTACTGTCGCCGCCGTCGCTTGTTCAATCGCAGTCGCCTCGTCGCGCGGCGACGCGGGACTCCGGGGTTCGCAGGCGGGGCGCGGCGGATCGGGGATTGGCGGAACCCGCGGCGGTAGTGCGCGGGCGGGAGGGCTATCGGGGGAGCGCAGGGGGTATTGGCGTCGGGGGAGCGCTTCAATTGCGCAGCCGCGGGAGCAGCAGGATGGGCGCGGGGGGAAGCAGCGCGGGCGCGGATCAGCCCAGCAGCAGGGGAAGCGCGGGTTCGGGGAGCGGGGGAGGCGGGGGGAGGGGCGCGGCGCGGCGGTGGTGGCGGTGGTGGCGGTGGTGGCGGTGCTGGCGCTGACGCCGCTGCTGGCGTTCACGAGCGTGATGCCGCCGTGGCTGCGCGCACATGGGGGCGCGCAGACGGAGGGCCAGGTGAGGGGAGAGGGCGAGGTGAGGGGTATCAATGTACTTGTCGCCGTTTGTCCCCGTACTGTTTCGCTCCCTCCACCCTCCCACAGCCCACGTGACATGCCTCCCCTTCCCCTTCGCTGCACCCTCCTCTATCCTCCACCCAACTCCTCGTATCTGTCTCCCTTCAACCCCCACCCCCGCACCCCGCCCTCGCCTCCCCCCTTCCCCCATGGCACGGCCAGCAGGCATCGCTGGTGACCCATGCTGCCGTGCCCCACACGGGTCTTCACTCGGAGGTGAGGTGCGGTGAGGTGCAGTGAGGTGCGGTGAGGCGAGGTGAGGCGAGGTGAGGCGAGGTGAGGTGGACTGAAAAGAGGCAAGGCGACTGGCGGAAGGGGCTGCAACAGGGTCGAGTGTGTGGGGGAGAGGAGAGCGTTGCAAGAGCAGTGAAAGGGGCTTCACCTGATTTGTGGCAGAACAGCAGTTGTTCACACTTCACATCCCTGCCACACAATCCTTGTTAGAACAGCGGTCACTAGACACTCCATTCACCTCTTCCTTCTCCATCCTCTCTCGCCTCGCTCCCTCTTCCTGCATTCCCATACCTCTTCCAGACCCACACACAAGGGTTGTCAACAGTAGCAGCAGAGGCAGCAGCAGCAGCGCCAGCGGCAGCGCGAGCAGCGGAGTTTCAGCTGCCCTGGCCAGAAGACTCCATGGCGCTGTGCCTCGTCGGGCAGCTGCGAACGTTTGAGCTGACCGGGCCGTCCATAGCAGCGAATCTGGTGGGGCGAGAGGGCTACGGGAAGGCAGACGTGTTTGTAGTGACACCCCTCGATGAGAACTCCGCCAAACTGCTCACCCTCCGGGGCACAGGGGGGCCAGAGGGAGTTGGGGAGGAAAATGTCCCAAGGCTAGTGTCGGTGCGGGTGTTTCCGGATTTCAACGTAAACGAGGCACTCTACCCCACACACATTCTCAAGGGGCTGGAGAACGGTCCACAGGGACTGCTACAGCAGTTCAGCATGGAAGCCATGTGCGCCGCTGACATCGCTGAGAGAGAGCGCCGCTACAGCCGGCGCTACAAGTGGCTCATGAAGGCCCGCCCGGATGCGTTCTGGGTGGCGCCGCCCCCTCCGCTGGGCGGCTTGGAGTACCGCAGCTTGACTGCGCCGCCCGGGCTGGATTTTGGGGGGGTGAACGACAGGCTGGCGGTGGTGCCGCGGGCGGCGGGCCGGGCGGCGTTTGCTCGGCTGCACATGCTGGGGGCTGTGAGCGAGGGCTCCATCGAACCTGGCAAGTAGGGCTGCTGGGCTTTGCTGCTCGTTTCCGCTGCCTTCCCCACTGCTGCCTTGCTGCTCACTTGCACGTCAGCCTATCAGAAGGCAGGTCGAGAAAACAGCATCCAACCTTCACCCCTCTCTCCCCGGCGCGCCCCTGCACATCACCCACTACAGGCGGGTGAACGCGGAGTCGATGTACGCGCGCATACTGCAGCACCTGAACGTGACAGTGACGCGCGCGCCCTTCCCCTTCTGCCTCGTGTCGCACCACCGATTCTTCCGCATGCTCGCCCTGCCCAACCTCCGCAACCACCGCGGGGGGGACTACTGCCGGCCCTGCCACCACGAGGCGCCGCCCAACCCCTTCTGCGAGCAGACGGGGCCGTGGCCGGCGGACTGGCCGGCGCTGTTCGACCAGCATGTGCCGGCACGGCTGGCGGCGGGGCGGCGCGCGGTGGTGGCTGCGGTGGAGGGCGGTAGAGAGGGGTGTGAGGCGCAGGTGGCACAGGTAAGTGGTGGGGTGGTGGAGGGCATGCCTGTGGGGAAGGGTGGTGGGGTTGCCTTGTGGGGGATGAATGGTGGGCAGGGCTTGTGGTGGAGGAGAGTTGGTTCATGTGCTCCTCACATGCTCCTCACATGCTCCTCACATGCTCCTCACATGCTCCTCACATGCTCCTCACATGCTCCTCACATGCTCCTCACATGCTCCTCACATGCTCCTCACATGCTCCTCACATGCTCCTCACATGCTCCTCACATGCTCCTCACATGCTCCTCACATGCTCCTCACATGCTCCTCACATGCTCCTCACATGCTCCTCACATGCTCCTCACATGCTCCTCACATGCTCCTCACATGCTCCTCACATGCTCCTCACATGCTCCTCACATGCTCCTCACATGCTCCTCACATGCTCCTCACATGCTCCTCACATGCTCCTCACATGCTCCTCACATGCATCCCTCTCCCCGTTTCTCACTTCTCACCTCTCATGCTTTCCCTCCTCCCACTGGCGTGTGCTTCCCCCCCTAATCCCCTGCCTTTTGTGATTCAGCTGTCTCTCGAGGTTCGGCGCCGAACCAACCCATCAGCCTCGTTGACAGCCCCACCTGCTGGCCATGCTTCCATCACCCCTCAACACCAACAAGCATCAGCGTCCAACCCCTCCGGCCAAGCCTCCCTGTGGCAACGCTTGCTGGGACGCCTGGGAGGGAGGCCAATTGCGAGTGGGTTAGACCAAGGGGGAAAGGAAGAGGAGCAAGCAGCAGCTGAGGCGGAGGCTGCAGAGGCTGCGTGGAGGGAGGCAGCGTGGAGGGAGGGGTGGAGGGCGCCGGCAGCGGCGGTGCTGTGTGTGCGGCATGGGCTGGGGAAGGCGTTGGTGTTTGGTGCGTCTGGCACGGGGCGGGCTGGCAGCTGGTGTGCCTTCCACTCCCACCTGCTTGCTCTCAACCACAGGTGCGTGCTTGCTCTCAACCACAGGTGCGTGCTTGCTCTCAACCACAGGTGCGTGCTTGCTTCCTTGGATATGGACAGGCGCACTGCACCTCACTGCGATCTGCCACGGGGCGGGCTGGCAGCTGGTGTGCCTTCCACTCCCACCTGCTTGCTCTCAACCACAGGTGGGCAGCCTGCTTGCTCTCAACCACAGGTGGGCAGCCTGCTTGCTCTCAACCACAGGTGGGCAGCCTGCTTGCTCTCAACCACAGGTGCGTGCTTGCTCTCAACCACAGGTGCGTGCTTGCTTCCTTGGATATGGACAGGCGCACTGCACCTCACTGCGATCTGCCACGGTGCGGGCTGGCAGCTGGTGTGCCTTCCACAACCACCTGCTTGCTCTCAACCACAGGTGGGCAGCCTGCTTGCTCTCAACCACAGGTGCGTGCTTGCCTCTTGAGACTTCTTAAAAGTGCTGTGTGTGCGGCATGGGCTAGGCAAGGCGTTGGTGTTTGGTGCGTCTGGCACGGGGCGGGCTGGCAGCTGGTGTGCCTTCCACTCCCACCTGCTTGCGCTCAACCACAGGTGCGTGCTTGCCTCCTTGGATGTGCACGCACGCACTGCATTGCACTGCACCGCACTGCGATCCGCATCCTGTTCGTGCTGGCTGCTTTTCACTCACATTTAGTTCCTTGTCGCCCTCTCCTTCCCTTCACCCCTTCAACACCTTTATTCTTTTCGACTCTGTCACCTCCCCCCCTTCCTCTCCCCATTTCCTCCTCCCCTCCAGCATCGCCTTGTCCCTGCCTGCCGCGCCCCCCTCCACCGACCTCCTATGGGACGCCCACCTGCTCTCCGGCCTGCCCTCCATGCGCCTCCTAATGCTGCCAAAACCCCCCGCCCAAACTGCCAACGCTGCCGCCCAGCAGCAGTCAGCGGCGGGCGGCAGAGAGGTGGTGGCGGAATATGAGGCGGCGTTTGCAGCGGCGGTGCGGCAGATAAAGGGGGAGGAGGAGGTGGTGGGGAGAGGTGCTGCTGTTGCCAATGCTGATGATATGCTGAGAGCTGTGGGGGCATCCATGCACGTTGACCTGATTCGAGTGAGTCTTGCATGGCTGTTGCATGTGCACACATGGGAGGAACCATGTGCACCATACACTTGCAAGCTTGCTATGATTGCAAGCACTGGTGGCCTGTGAGGTGGTGCACCCTTCTGTCATTACTGCCGCCCTCTCACTCTTCTCTCCCCCCACAACCTCCCCCCACCAGGTGGGAGCGGGGCGCCTACGGGACCTACAGGCACTGCTAGCACATGGGCTGAGCACGTGCCAGCTGCTGGTGGATGTGGAGGGCACGGGGCAGGGCGTGGTGGCGCAGCGCAGCTGAGAGAGATCCCATTCACTCTCCTGCAACTCTCTTCCCTCGCTGCTCTAGCCCCCTCTCACCCCTCTCACCTCTCCCACACCCAACCTCCCTCCCCTCCCTCACCCCCCCCCCACCAGGTGGGAGCGGAGCGCCTACCAGACCTGCAAGCACTGCTAGCGCGCGGGTTGACCACGTGCCGGTTGCTGGTAGATGTGGAGGGCGCAGGGGAGGGGGTGCTGCTGCAACCGCTGAGAGATCCCACTCACTCTCCTGCGATACCTTTCCTTCACTGCTCTAGCCCCCTCTCACCCCTCTCACACCCACTCACCCTCCCCCCCCCACCAAGCAGGTGGGAGCGGGGCGCCTAGTGGACCTGCTGGCGCTGCTGGCACGCGGGTTGAGCATGTGCCAGCTGCTGGTGGACGTGGAGGGCGCGGGGAGGGCATAGGGGAGGGGGTGCCTACAGGTGATACTCGCCCGCTCTTCACCTTTTCCCACGTCCCATCCCCCCCAACTCCCCCCACCAGGTGGGAGCGGGGCGTCTACCGGACCTGCAGGCGCTGCTGGCACGTGGGCTGAGCACGTGCCAGCTGCTGGTGGACGTGGAGGGCGCAGGGGAAGGGGTGGTGCAGCAGCTTACGGGCAGGGGTGGAGAGGGGGGTGCTGATGCTGGGAGGGCTGCTATGGCCAGGGTAGGTGGGGTGGGAGGGAGGCGGTTGCAGCAGGTGGGGCAGGGGGCACAGCAAGTGGGGGCAGAAGGAGGGGAGCATGTGGTCGACCAAAGAGGGGCAGACGCAAGTAGAGAGATAGAGGAACTAGATGCGTTTTTGCTTCCGGATGACCCGCTCTTAGCTAAGTGGCGGGGGGAGGCGGTGCTGAGAGATCTGCAGCGGTGGCTGTCAGGGAGGTCATTCCATCTGGACCGGTGTGTGTCGGGGGACGAGGAGAGGGTGGGGCGATGCACCTTCTTCTCACTCACACACTGCCAGGCTCCCTTGCCATCTCAGCAAACAACTGGTAGATAGCATGTTGCTGGCCCTCTGATTTGTTGATGTACTACGGTATTGGTAATTGCATTGCCCATTTGTTGCTGGAATACGTCCTGTCCAGCTTTTTTCATCATTCGGCTTATCACTATTGCCAAGTCCCACACTCTGCTGCACGTGTCCAAAAAAGAGCCACAACACTGATCCAACGTAAGTGCCTTCAGGGTCCCTGATCCAACTCAAAGGCTATCCCTGAAGCATCTCCAGTAATGCTGGATCCCTTAGCTTCATTCCTGGGAGGTGCTTACAAGGCAAGGCACGAGGCTACCCCATTTGAACCAATCAAATACCGTTAAGAGGCCGGTCCGGTTGACATCCTTTCAGGGTGGTACTTGGCCCACAGCAACTACATGTGTAGGGGTGTTTGGCAGCAGAGCAGCAATGATGCAGTATTGGTGCAGCATGAATGGAATCAGGAGGCATGACTGTTTTGGCGCTGTTGAGTCGTCGCGTGTGTGGGGGACACTGGGACAGCCGTGCGTGAGCCACTCAAACCGTGAGAAGGTCCTGGGGGGAGGCACGGTGGAGAGGGATCGAAAGGGGTGCAGGGGCACGGTTTTTGGGAGCAATCCACCACCAAGAAAGAACTCAAAAGGGAGAATACGGGTCATGGAAGACAGAATAAGAGAAGGAACGGCAGAGCCTGCTGCACAGCAGATGTGGAGGTGGACGGGCGTGGCACAGACCTTCTCCTTCTGCTTGAAGGCCGTGTCGATCTGCTTCACATAGTCATCCGTCATCTTCTGCTCGCGTGCATGCATGGTGAGGGAGCAACAAGCAAGGAGAGGGGAAGAGAAGGTGGGGAGCACAGAGATGAGTTGGGGAAGCAGAAAAGCAGGGCGAAGAGGTGAACTGGTTTGACTGACAGAGAGGAACAGGAAAGGGTGAGCCAGCAGAAATTGTGTGGAAGACGTATGGGTGCCTGCAGGGGGGGTAATGCTGGCCAATCCGTGCACGCCACGTCACCTGGATGTCATCTGAGAGGTCCTTGAGAGCATCCTCTGAGATCTTCTTATCCTGTAGCGCACCAACGGGGACATGACACGTGGCATGTGATGAAACGGGCACACGTGATAAGGCAAGGAGATAGCTGCTCCTCGCAAATAGCACGGAGTTGTAAGCTAAACAGCTGGTGCGTATGGAATGGCACATGGCACGCCGCAGGAGCGGAGGCATTGGGTGAGAGTGAAGGATGGCACATTGGGAAGGAAGGGCCAGGCAGGTTACTCCAGATGACTTCACCCGTGCAAGGTCATGCGCAAAGAAACGTGTTATGGCATGGCAGGCGGCACCTTCTGCAGCCTTTCGTAGGCCTTGATGGAGTCCCGCCGCACGTTGCGCAGCGCCACCTGGTGGGCATGAGAGCCCGTGAGACGGGAGGGGAGGGGGGGACATGATGACAGGAGGGGACAGAGGGGCAGGCGGCACCTTCTGCAGCTTCTCATAGGCCTTGATGGAGTCCCGCCTCACATTGCGCAGCGCCACCTGATGGGCACGAGTGGCAATGCGGGGTGGGGGGGAGACCAGGAGGACAGGAGGGACAGAGGGGGCAGAGGAGGCAGAGGGGTGAGGGCGCATGTGGGTGGGGCAGGGTGCAGGTGGCAGGTGCAGCTGGGATGATGAATGTCACTCGTGAGCGCGAACCTTACGACATGTTTCTGCAAAGGTGCGTGCCTTAGGGTGTGTGCATTGGTGTGAGTGGTGCATGCATAGAGCATGCATCAGAGCACACATTGCGTGCATCCCTTTCACGGCTCACCTTGCCATCTTCAGACAGCTTTGACACCGTCTTCAGCAGCTCCTGTTGCCCCATGCCCACCCATGCATGAATGCCCATGCCCATGCCCATGCCAATGCAGATGCCATGCCATGCCATGTCACACGCAAGCCCACATACCCATAACCGCAGCATTCCCATGTGGAAGGGGACGCAGGGGTTGGAGAACGGTGGTAAGGAAGACAGACGTGAGAGGCGGGTCACGAGGTGGTTTTGGGCTAAGAAATCATCAAAGCAGGCAGATGGCATCCACTTCTCCACGCACCCACTTCACTACTCTGCCCCCCCCCGCCACTCCCAGCCTATACAACTCAGCCTCTGTCCGTCAACGTTTAGTCACCTGCTCTGCTACCTTGTAAAAGTGAAAGTGTTAACTTCTATGCTATCTCGTGCGTGCCACATGCAGCTTTATATTCCATACATCGCAGAACCGGTGCATCTATGGCTGCACTCCCCTGGGGAGGGGGAGCACTGCACCTTGCGGCGCTCGGCAGTGAGCTGCGGGATGGCGAGGCGGATGACACAGTTGAGGCGCTTCAAAGAGCGTATCACTATACCACAGCATGCGTGCATACTGCATGCTCGTACCTTGCGGCGCTCGGCAGTGAGCTGCGGGATGGCGAGGCGGATGACATTGCCGTCGGAGGAAGGTGTGAGGCCCACATCCGACTTCATGATCGCCTTCTCTATCGACGGGATGCTGTGGGGGATGGGAGGGGAAGGAGGAGGAAGTGGGGGGGTGGGAGAGGGGGAGCCAAGAGCAAGAGGAGCAACAGGGTGTGAGGCCCACGTCTGACTTCATGATCGCCTTCTCTTTGGACGGGATGCTGGGGTGGGTGGGGGGGGGGGGTGGATGAGGGGGAAGGGATAGCGAGAGTAGCAAAAGGGCGTGAGGCCCACATCCGACTTCATGATCGCCTTCTCTATGGACGGGATGCTGGGGGGAAGATGGGGGGAAAGAGCAGGAGGAAGTGGGGGGAGACGTTTGATACCCTTCACAGAGAGAATTACTGGGGAAATACAGTTCTTCTGTTGATTAAACTAGGAGGGCTACAATAAACGTGACGAAGCGAGAAGTGGGAGACGCTGTGGGGAGGGTGGAAGAGGAAGGGTCCGTTCGTGGAAAGGGCACCTATATTTGTTGAGTGGCACCTGGATTTGTCAAATGGCGTGACGAGCAGCATGGAGCCATCAGGGGCAGCGATCTGGGCGATGCTCTTCAGAATCACATTTGCGCCGTAATACTCCACCTGGTGGTACAGCAGAGCATGGGGCAATGGGACACGTGGCATTGGGAGCAGCACACGTGGTGATGGGAGGGGTACACGCGGCACATAGTGCAGCCAGTAAGGCAAAGAAGCGGCTTACGGTGAAAGGCTGATTTTGAGTGCAGAGGGGTGCAGGGAATAGGAGGGCAAGAGTGAGAGTGGGAGCGAGAGCGAGAAGTGAGACGCAGGAAGGCGTTAAGAAAAGAAAAAGCGGTCCAGCAGGGCTCACCTCGATGCGGTCCAGCAGGGCTCACCTCGATGCGGTCCAGCAGGGCTCACCTCGATGCGGTCCAGCAGGGCTCACCTCGATGCGGTCCAGCAGGGCTCACCTCGATGCGGTCCAGCAGGGCTCACCTCGATGCGGTCCAGCAGGGCTCACCTCGATGCGGTCCAGCAGGGCTCACCTCGATGCGGTCCAGCAGGGCTCACCTCGATGCGGTCCAGCAGGGCTCACCTCGATGCGGTCCAGCAGGGCTCACCTCGATGCGGTCCAGCAGGGCTCACCTCGATGCGGTCCAGCAGGGCTCACCTCGATGCGGTCCAGCAGGGCTCACCTCGATGCGGTCCAGCAGGGCTCACCTCGATGCGGTCCAGCAGGGCTCACCTCGATGCGGTCCAGCAGGGCTCACCTCGATGCGGTCCAGCAGGGCTCACCTCGATGCGGTCCAGCAGGGCTCACCTCGATGCGGTCCAGCAGGGCTCACCTCGATGCGGTCCAGCAGGGCTCACCTCGATGCGGTCCAGCAGGGCTCACCTCGATGCGGTCCAGCAGGGCTCACCTCGATGCGGTCCAGCAGGGCTCACCTCGATGCGGTCCAGCAGGGCTCACCTCGATGCGGTCCAGCAGGGCTCACCTCGATGCGGTCCAGCAGGGCTCACCTCGATGCGGTCCAGCAGGGCTCACCTCGATGCGGTCCAGCAGGGCTCACCTCGATGCGGTCCAGCAGGGCTCACCTCGATGCGGTCCAGCAGGGCTCACCTCGATGCGGTCCAGCAGGGCTCACCTCGATGCGGTCCAGCAGGGCTCACCTCGATGCGGTCCAGCAGGGCTCACCTCGATGCGGTCCAGCAGGGCTCACCTCGATGCGGTCCAGCAGGGCTCACCTCGATGCGGTCCAGCAGGGCTCACCTCGATGCGGTCCAGCAGGGCTCACCTCGATGCGGTCCAGCAGGGCTCACCTCGATGCGGTCCAGCAGGGCTCACCTCGATGCGGTCCAGCAGGGCTCACCTCGATGCGGTCCAGCAGGGCTCACCTCGATGCGGTCCAGCAGGGCTCACCTCGATGCGGTCCAGCAGGGCTCACCTCGATGCGGTCCAGCAGGGCTCACCTCGATGCGGTCCAGCAGGGCTCACCTCGATGCGGTCCAGCAGGGCTCACCTCGATGCGGTCCAGCAGGGCTCACCTCGATGCGGTCCAGCAGGGCTCACCTCGATGCGGTCCAGCAGGGCTCACCTCGATGCGGTCCAGCAGGGCTCACCTCGATGCGGTCCAGCAGGGCTCACCTCGATGCGGTCCAGCAGGGCTCACCTCGATGCGGTCCAGCAGGGCTCACCTCGATGCGGTCCAGCAGGGCTCACCTCGATGCGGTCCAGCAGGGCTCACCTCGATGCGGTCCAGCAGGGCTCACCTCGATGCGGTCCAGCAGGGCTCACCTCGATGCGGTCCAGCAGGGCTCACCTCGATGCGGTCCAGCAGGGCTCACCTCGATGCGGTCCAGCAGGGCTCACCTCGATGCGGTCCAGCAGGGCTCACCTCGATGCGGTCCAGCAGGGCTCACCTCGATGCGGTCCAGCAGGGCTCACCTCGATGCGGTCCAGCAGGGCTCACCTCGATGCGGTCCAGCAGGGCTCACCTCGATGCGGTCCAGCAGGGCTCACCTCGATGCGGTCCAGCAGGGCTCACCTCGATGCGGTCCAGCAGGGCTCACCTCGA